TTTATTAACTTAACTTTTAATTCAATTAATTTCATTATACATTAACTTGTATCTTAACTAAGTTAAATTTTCAAGGTTGTTAACTTTAACTTAACTTAATTAAAAGAAAAAATTAACTTACCCAACCCTGTGCATAATATAAAAAATTAACGCACATGAATCCATAGCAGTACCAGATTTATCAGTATTACAACTAGCGCCAGTAATGATTTCAAGTTGCAGTAATGTAATACGTTCTTCTCTAGATTCTGACTAATGCGATCTTTCATTTCAGATTCCATTTCTTAAAAATCAATTTCTTGAGTTGACTGTTTCATTCTCTAAAAATATGAATTTATTATGTAAGTTAAAAGATCTTAAGATATTTAAATATTTGCTCCTTCTTACGGTACTATTCTGGGTATTTCGTGTCCGACTTCTGTTCGTGCAAATTTCTCACAAATTTCTCGACAAATTTTCTTTAAAAAAAAAAAAGAATTGTAAAAAAAATTGTAACACATGTCAAATATTTTTTATATTATTTAATTAAAAAACGAGCCCTCTTTGTTACTTAATTAAAGAATATGTATGTAATTGATATGTCTATATGCATAATGGAGAAAGAAAAAGATAAAATATAATGTATATAATGTATATAAGTAAAAAAGCTATAATGTATATAATGTATATAAATAATAACTATATAAATAATAACTATAATGTATATAAATAAAAACTATAAAAACTGTATAATGATGAATAATCTTTATTGTAATAAAGTTAGCAACAAATAATACTTTATTTTTAAAACGTAAATTGACCTATAAATCCCTTTCAAAAGATGATATCTTAAAACTGCTATGTATTCTACATGAAAAATACGAAACTGTCTTTATTCGATAAAGTGTGTGTGTCTCGCTTATTTAGATATTACTTTAAATTTGTGTACTTTTACTTGGAAACACTGCGCTACTTCTGGTTTTATATGCTGGGAAATATTGATATATAAGTGCATCTAAAACAGACTTTGTATGATATAAAAATATTTAAAAAATTAGTTGAGTTACTTTGAATGCATGATTAAGATCAAACTTAAATTTTAATGTAAATTTGATTTTAGTTAAATGAAAAAATTTTAATGAAAAAAAAAATGCAGATACATTTACAGATGATACAGAAAAGAAAAGAAAATTTAGCTTAATAATATTTCATATATGATTATACGTGTTTATGAATATTTATGTATGTTTATACATATTTATGCATAATTAATGTGTGGAAAAATTTTTACCGGACTGCATCATGCAACTATATCGCTGGCCCTGCTGCATAAAAGAGGATTGGTGAGGTCGGGGTCGATTTGCGATTTGCGTTAATAAGTGGAAGTGTTAATTTGTTGTTTCTGGTCTACATCATTTTGGAATAAGGGCGAATAAACTTTGAAAAGGGATACACGACGATGAAGAAGTAATGGCAATTCCAGAACGGCGATGATCAAGATTTATTGTTCTACACACTATATATAGCCAAGAAATGACACATTGCAATAACGTTAAAATGTTAAAATAAATTATGATTGCAGATTGAAACGTGACTTTTAATAAATTTTGAAGCCATTTTGACGTTTATATAGTTTGATGTCATTATGACTTAAATTTTTGTTCTGCTTATTAGATATAAAGTCTATAATCAATTATACAATCTTTGCATCTAAGTAAATTGTATTTTGCTTTTTACCTTTTTTCTCTATCTTTTTTGCGACCGTTTTTTTTTACTTTTTCAAAGTTTGTTAATTTTCATCTCAGGCGACAGAAAGCAGAAACAGGATAAAGGGCAAAAATAAAAAGTAATAAAAAGCAAGAAACTGCAATTTTTAGTAATTAATATCTTGTTAACTATTGCGAAAATTGCAAAATGGTAAAGAATTTTTCGACTCAGTTTAGTCGACTCTATCTACACAAAAGTGATTGGCAAAAAAGGTCGGGACACCCGGTATAATATATATATTATCTTGCCGAATTCTTATTTAAGAGAATATATAATTTTGACGAAAGAATTGATACCTTTTCTGAAATTATGAATATGATGCATTCATTAGATGCTTTAAATATTGAATATAAACTGTATCGAATAAAGACACCATTTTTGAAACTTTGATTATATTAATAACTTTTTCAGCTGTGCAAAGAGTACATTTTGTAAATTAGTTATAGAGTCAAGTTTTTAATTCATCAATTGATCAATCGTACATTATAATGCACAAATGCAACTTAATTTGTTCCGTAAAAGCTGCACTTGCGCTTAATGCGATTAATCAGCAATCGATGAATTTTAAAACTTATATATATCTTATCTCATACCAATAAGTGTACATGCGCATAACGCGATGCCACCCCATGTATTATTATCCGTGTACTCACAAGTAAACCTACCCAAGTGTCAGTGACCGATTTTGATGTAACTTGGCATACTTTTAGAACTCACAAAAATAATCGATACGTATTTTTTTATATCTGCTATAAAGAAGAAGGTTTAAGGGTTGAAACTACCCCTTTTGTTGCTCAAAATTCC